TGTACATGTACACACACACGCGCGCGCGCACGCACACACACACACACAAATACACACACGCATACACACTCACACATTTGTACATATTTATATAAGCGATATTCATGACAATAATGTTTAACGTAATTAGCAATTACAATACATAGGCATACATATTTTGTATAATGATCCATGAAATAAATATAAATATATATATATATATATATATATATATATATATATAGTTTTGGCGCTTAACTATTATATTTGTATTAAGAGATGAGAAAAAGAAATTGGATTCCAGCTATTGTTGTCGTTATTATTATAAATATTATTATTATAAATATTATTACTATTATTATAAATATTATTATTATTATAAATATTATTATTATTATAAATATTATTATTATTATAAATATTATTATTAATATTATTATTATTTATTCATCATTATCGTCATCGTTATCATTTCATTTAACATCACCATCATTAGTTATCACCAGTATTCCCCATGTATTTTCATTGGGTCGTTTTTATCCTCATCATCATCATCTTCGTTATTATTATTATTATTATCATCATACATTTATAATATATCTAATATATTTATTATGATACTATATCATCATTTAATTATGATATTATGAAGAAAAAAAAATAAACAAAACAAAAGAAAGGGATGATAGTTTTAATTTAATCGGTGGAGTTGCTGTTATTCTCATAACGCTTTTTCTTATTATTTTTTTTGTCGTTTCAAACTAAGAGATGGTCAAAAGTCAAAGGTTCTAACAATAACAATAATAACAATATTTATAATAACAATATTAATAATAACAATAATGTGAAGACATAGTTGGTCTGTGATTTACTTACTGGTGTTTGTAATGTAACTCGTTACCAAAAATGAAAGAGAGAGGGAGAGAAAGAGGGAGAGAGAGAGAAAGGAGAGAGAGAGAGAAAGAAAAGAGAGGATGAGAGATGTTTAGGAAAACAGGAAAAATGAAGAATAAAGGAATAAGTAGAGAGAGGAGAGAGAGTAAGAAAACAAAAAGAGTAAAAGAAAAGAGAGTCCTATCTTATATAAAAAAATTGTTCATTACATAATTTTAAAACAGGGGCCAAATTATGACAGATAAATTTTCAATATCCAGAAATATTTTTCACAAAAAGTACTCTGAAAATAATTTTCCAGAATTTATCTGGTAACAGTCGAATGGCTATTTTTAGAAGCAGGCACCAGCCACTTCAATGATTATCGTGAATTTTTTCACATGTAGACTTAAACGTTAATCTCAAGTTTGTTTGAGTGAATGAATGAATTGGTGATTGAATGAGTGAATGAATGACTAAGGTGAATGAATGAACAAACGAATGAACGACCGAACGAACGTACATACGAATAAACAAATTTAAAAAATGAATGAATTACAGCTACCCAAATGAATAAACAAATGACGATTGATCATTAAATTGTAACATGAAATGGAACAAGAAGAAGCTCTTTGAAGTTTCAGCTACGGTCAAAAAGTGTATCATCGTCGTCATGTGGCTTGCTTGTTTATCGACCACGATCACTTTGTGTTAGTTAATTACTTTTGCTCTATACAGTTGAGTGAGCGAATGAATGAATGAATGAATGAATGAATGAATGAATGAATGAATGAATAAATAAATGAATGAATGAATGAATGAATGAATGATTGAAAGGAAGAAAGAACGATCTAAAACAGAAAATGAATGATATTTTGTCAAGTATTCATGTTTAACTTTACAAAACAAATTTATCTCCAATGTTTATATCTACCATCTTATTGATGATGATAATTAGCATAGGAGCAATTAGCCGGCTCCGTACTGATAAGTGCCTATGTACTCATAAGTACACGCGAACTACCAGATCTTCCAATCTTATGCTATTCTATTCATAGCGCTCTGATCGGTGCACATGCACTGAACAAACATTCTCCTCATCTTCATCGTCATCTTCATCATTTTCTCCTCTAGTCTCTTCATCTTCGTCGTCATCATCACCATCATTATCTGCAAGTGATTAGGAGCATGATGAGTGCGTGCTTGAGTGAGTGATTTAAAGTTTAAAACATGTGACATTTTGATGTGTTATGTGTATATGCATGTGCGTTTGTATGTGGGGTATGTATGTATGTTTGTTTATTTGTATGTGTGCATGTGTGTGTGTATGTATATGTGTGTGTGTATCTATGTGTGTATGTGTGTAGATGTGTTTGTATTTGTGTTTGTATGTATGTATGTGTTTGTGCTTGTGTTGTTGTGTGTGTGTAGCTTATGAACATATGTGGATAAAAACCATCATTTTGCCCCAACTAGCTTGTTAATGTAAGTTTACGGTTCTCAAACGGAGTACAATTATGTATGTGTGATTTTAATATGAATGCATAAGTATCAATAATGTTACTAGTTGTTTTATGAAGAGGTTTATTAAAAGATAAATAAAAGAAAACACGGACACACATACACACGACACACACACCACAAACACACACAAACTCTAACAAACACAAAAACTAACTTTCATGGGATTGTTTTGTTACCAATATATGAACCTCTCTGGCTGATATGATAAGTAGTTAGAAAAAAAATGAAACAGAGATATATTTATATTATCATTTGTTATTATTATTATTATTGCTGTTTTCATCGTTATTATCATTCTATTATTATTATTATTATTACTACTACTAATTATTATCATTATTATTATTATTACTAATTATTATCATTATTATTATTATTACTAATTATTATCATTATTATTATTATTACTAATTATTATCATTATTATTATTATTTATTATTATTATTACTAATTATTATCATTATTATTATTATTATTATTATTATTATTATTATTATTATTATTACTAATTATTATTATCATTATTATTATTATTATCATTATTATTATTATTATTATTACTAATTATTATCATTATTATTATTATTACTAATTATTATCATTATTATTATTATTATTATTACTAATTATTATCATTATTATTATTATTACTAATTATTATCATTATTATTATTATTATTATTATTATTACTAATTATTATCATTATTATTATTATTACTAATTATTATCATTATTATTATTATTATTATTATTATTACTAATTATTATCATTATTATTGTTGTCGTCATCGTCATAATTCATCATTATAGACGCTCTTACTTACGCATCTCTACATATCTTTCTCTCTCTTTCTTTCTCTCTTTCTCTCTCTCTCTCTCTTTCTCTCTCTTTCTCTATATGATATTCATATATATATATATATATATATATATATATTAGATACGTAGATAAACATATATCATTAAAATCTATCTTCGATTTACGATACCAGCATACTAACAAACCATGCGGTATGTACGTGAGTATATGAGTATAAATGTATGTATGTATGTTTGTTTATATGTATTGTATGTATGTATGTATGCATGTATGTATGTATGTATTTATGTATGTTTGTATGTATGTTTGTATGAATGAATGTGTTTACACATATAACATACATACGTATGTATGTTTCTAATGCATATACATACAATATATATTATATATATTATAATATATTAATAATTATAAAAATATTATAATAAAAAAACCCACATATTTACATTGATAATAAATTACTATGTTTGTGTGGCATATATATATATATATATATATATATATATATATATATATATAATCCATAATAATAAATATTAATTAATAATAATTAATAATATATATATGTATAATCCATGAAAAAGGGATCAATTCTTCTGGACTCTATATAAATATATGATTCACATAATACACATACAAACCTACGTACATACATACAAAAAACACACATATATACATACATACATAGATACAACATCCATATATACATACAAATATACATACATACAAACATACATAAACACACACACACACACACACACACACACACACACACATACATACATACACATATACCGTCATTAATAATCACACATACACATTCAACCAGCGTTCTATACTGTGAAGATGAAAATGATTGCTATGTATCTGCGACATAGATACCATATAAATGTTGGTTTTGTATGTAAGTATGTTTGTATGTATATCTATATGTATGCGTGTGTATGTATTTTGTATATATACATGTTGGTTACGTAAACAAGCCAAAATGTAAATAACACGAAAGTACTTTAACGATTTTATGTTTCATGATTATTGTTATTAATTATTCGAGGAATTAGATATATTATACGCATACATATTTGTGTTTCATATGGCATGTATACCAAGCAGATATATATGTGTAGTTTAAAAACATATAAATATATTTATGATACGAAATTTTCATGGATATATTGTTTATTTATTAACGTATATATAAGAGGATTTATTGAAATATAAAGTTTATTCATAAAGGTTTTGGTTAGTCTGGTTTGGATGTAATACATCTATCTGTATTTTATTTTAATGTATTAGTTAGATAAATGTATTTAAATAAATCGATAGATGAATAAATGAATGAATGAATAGATGAATTATTGAATTTCATATTTACATATATATATATAATTTATTTACAAACTATAACAAACTTATTCGTTTTTTTAATTAAAAATTATTTAGAAATAATAAAAAGTAAATATATACGGCCAACTTGTTTTCGATTTGGGGGAAAAACAACAAATAGAAAAAAAAGAAACAAAATCTAAAAAGGTATTTTTTAATTTTTCTTTTATAAATCATGACGTCAGAGACGACGACGACGATGATTGGAAGAATACTGACGATGATGACGACGACGATGATGGTGGTGGTGGTATTGAAATGCTGATGATGATGTTGTCTATAATGATAAAGATGATGATGACATTCCAAGAGTGTCAACATATAGGTATATATAGGTTTATTGTGTATATATATAATCATACATACATTAAAAGCCCGGGCTTCTAAGCATTGGTTTGGAATTAAATACGAAAAAAATGCGAACTCTTTCTTGGCCTAGTGATTCTTTTGGTGTGCCTCCAGGTACTCCAGGTTTTTCTGTTGCTTGCCCTGGACAGACTAACACAAGATGCCTTAACTATAGTTTACAACGCGATCAGTATCCCAAAACCGATGGATTTTTGCGCTCTTCCAACTTTACAAATTTAGTTCTTTTGAGGGATTTCGATAACGATTTCATCCATATATTCATACATATACATACTTACATACATACATACACAAACATACACATATACATACATTATACATACATACATCAATAACCATCTATGTCGGCCAACATTTTTTTATGCTTCTATGATTAGTTGGGAATCTGTTTGTTTGCGTATGTGTGCATGTGAGATTGTGTGTATGTATATGTGTATATATGTGTGTATGTGTGTGTATATATGTATATATGTGTTTTTATGGACATTACGTAATCATCGGCTATAACAAAATCCATATTGACATGAGTGAACATCAAATCATAATACAAAAAAAAAACGAGAAAAAAAATCAAAGATCATAGATAAGACAAAACCAAAGAATAAAATAAAAACCTTGAGTAGCGCACAATATATGTTCGAAATTTACTTCTTACCGAGGCATATTTATCAGGGATCCATTTTTTAGATGCATTTGTTGTTTGTTTTGCTCCCTTGGTTCTTATGCTCGAAGGAGAGAGAGAAAGAGAGAGAGAGAGAGAGAGAGAGAGAGAGATACTCGAAGGAGAGAGAGAGGAGAGAGATACTCCAAGGAGAGGGAGAGGGAGAGAGTCTAAAACAAAGAATAAAAAGTATGGAAGAGAAATACTAGAGAAGAGAGAGACTAAGTCATATTTTCAAAAATTATTTTTTGCTTTTTTTCATACTTCTTGCTAATTCATTCCTCCAGTCGTTCCCTTGTTCATAATGACGATGATGATGGTGATGGTGATAAAATCACGATTAACTAAAAATATGATGATGACGACAACGACACGACGATGATGATAAGGATGATAATAATTACAACCGAGATATTACGTTATGAAGACACAAAAATAATTAATTTCTTGTATATCATTTGCAGATTAACTGACAATAACACAACAACAAAACTACAACAACAACAACGACATCAACAACAACATTAACCACAACAACAACAACAACAAAATAAAGTCATCAATACTATCGCTGAACACTCCAGCTTGAAAATGCGAAAAATTAAAGACAGACGCAATGTAAGTGCCACGTTCAACGTTAACAACAACGCCAACACTTACAACGGATATAACATTAACAACAACAACAACACCACTAGCAACAACAACAATAACCACACTGAGCTGGACAACATATCCATAGCTACGTTCCCAGACAACCAACTACTGTATTGGCGTAGCTACTCGAGTAACTCATCTACTACAACAACAGCTAACAACAACAACAACAACAACAGCGATGACAGCAGCAGCAACAACAACAACAACAAAAATATTGCAAATGGCGATGGAAGAAAGCTTTTTCACGCCACGTATAGCTTTCATGATTTCGGCAACATCAACAAAAACAACAACCACGTCAACAACAACAGCAACAACAGCAACAACAACAACAAATTTATCCGTTCTAGTAGTCGCAATTCTTTTAAAAAATTCTTCTCGTCCATTTCAACTCCTATAGGAAAAAGAAAAAGCAAAAACAAGCACAGTTACACTCTAGATTCATCTGAAAGCATCAACAACAACAACAACGATGACGTCATTAAAAAGGACGACATCAATAACAACAACATCAACAACAACATCAATTATGAATATCTCCTCAACATTAATACAGCAACTGAAGAAGCCTTAATGACTCTGCCCGGTGTCAGCAGGCAAACAGCACAAAATATCGTCAAGTAGTTATTTTCGTTTTTTAAAATAATTAAATGAATGATTAATTTTTTATTAATTAAATTGTTTATTTTTATTCTAATTAATACGATTTTTAGCTTTTTTAATGAAATTTTGAAGTTTTATACAATTAATAGTGTCTTTAATTTACACACTCGCGTACAAACACACAGATACACATACACAAAAACGTACATACACATATAGATCAAACGCCACCCATACAAACACACACACACATACACGAACTCACAAAAACACACACACAAACTCACACACAACACACACACACACAGGTATCGAATAATGATGGGCGGATTCAAGAACATTCAGGATATCGCTCCAGTGTCTGGTGTGGGAGCGGATAATTTCAAAAACTTTCGCTGTGAGATCACCTGCCACGATCCATTTCCGGACGTTGTGATAGATAAGTCAATCCATCAACATCAACAACATCTACAACAACAACATCAACCACAAAATCAACAGCAACTTCAACAAAATCATCAACAACGACAACACCAACAACAACAACTTCAACAAAATCAACATCAGCAACAACAACATCAAAAACACCACCGACAACAACAACATTATCTTGACAACTTAGAAGATTTGACTATAAAAATTAACGATTTGAATCATAAACAATAATTTCAGTAATAATTAATAATAAATATAATAATTATAATCCCACAATAATAATAATAATAAATATTATTGTTTTCTTTTTATTGTTAACAGAATTTCGATAGTACATTAAATGGCCTAAGATGAACTGAAATAAATTCAATAGCAATGGTGATGATGTTATATAACAATAATATAAATAATTATAGAAATAATAATAATAATTATTATTATTTAAATATTATTATTATTATCAAAATAATAATAAAATTACCAATGATGGTTATATAAATTATGAAATTGTGTAATTGATTTAGATGTTTAATGACTGCCTTTTTGATGTTTGTCTCTCTCTCTCTCTCTCTCTCTCTTTCTCTTTCTCTCTCTCTCTCTCTCTCTCTCTACTTTTTGTCCTCTTGCTCTTTCTTTCTATTGTACATATATAAATTTATATGTGTAAGATCGTTTGTTTGGTTTGTATACATGTTGATTACATTTATATGTTTGCGTATATTGGTATGTAGGTAAGTTTGTATACATGTTTGTATGTTGATTGTTTGTTTGTATACATACTGATTAAATTTGTATCTTTGCGTATATTTGTATGTAAGTAAGTTTGTATGTATTAATAGTTTGTTAATAAGTCCATTTTTAGATGATATACAATTCTGTATTGATTTTTTCATTTTTATTTAATGTTTGTATTTATGGTTGTATATACTTTTGTATATTTAAAATAGTTTACGTGCGCCGACGAACGAGCTGATGCATTTTTATTTCCATATTTTCGGTTTTATACATAGGTATGTGCAAAGTTAATTATAGCTATTTAATTATAATAATAATAATATTCATTATTATTATTGTTATTATTAATTTATTATTATACAATTTAGGTTTAATTATGCTTTTGTCTATTTTAATTAACGTATAGAGCAGGTGTATGTGTGTGTGAGTGTGTGTATGTTTGTTTGTTTGTGTGTGCGGGTGGTGTGTTGTATTTTTTGTCATCTTCCACATGTTGCATTTATCAATTATAAAAAACATTGATTTTATTATTCCATATATGACCGTTGTAATAAATTTTAATATTAGTTTTGTTTGTTTGTTTGTCTGTTTGTTTGTCCGTCCGTTCGTTCGTTCGTTCGTTCGTTTGTTTGCTTGTTTTTTTGTTCGTTTGTTTGTTCGTTTTTTATTGTTGGTATTATTTTTCATTTTTTAATATTGAAATATTAGTTAAATATAATCAAGAAAATTACTTATTAGTGTTTTTTATTTCGGTAGTTGTAGCAGCTGTAGCAGCAGCAGCAAAGGGCGTCCACAGAAGACAGTAGCATCCAGTTGAAGTTGGAGGAAAATTTTATAACAAAAAATCTAGTTAAAACTATTTCAATTTTTGTTGTTATCAACATTTGTTACTGATAACGTTACGGGTTAACTCTTTTTGTTATAAATGGAAATTTACTAAAAAATTTCCCCAACATTTAAGTGGTGATTCTCCTGGCAGCAGCTGTTGTAGCAGCAGCTGTTGTAGCAGCAGCTGTTGTAGCAGCAGCAGCAGCAGTGGTAGTGGTAGTAGTAAATTAGTAATTATTTATACTATACATAATTGATTTGTATTCAGCTAGCTGCTAATATAAAATTCTAATGAGTTTGAAGATGAATGTACGCCATTCAAAAACAACAACAATAGTAATAATGATGATGATGATGATAATAGCAATTTTGTCTGAATGGTATGAATGAATGAGTGAGTGAGTGAATGAATGAATGAATGAATGAATGAACGAATGAATTAATGAATGAATGAATGAACGAATGAATGAACGAATGTTTGAACGAACGTATGAATGAATGAATGAATGAATGGATGGGTGGAAGGAGCCTTTTGTCGTTGCCATGAAATTATTGACTTAAATAATTAATGCACCCAACATTGAAACAATAAAAAAAAACCACAACAACAATAATAATAATAAACAATAATAATAATAAACAATAATAATAATAATAACAAGTTATAACAACAATGATGATAATAAACACTAATAATAATAAGTAACCACAACAATTGAACAATTTTTGATTTATTATCATTATTGTCTATAATTTTAGTACAAACAAAGCCCAGGCATAGCATTGTACTTTGACTAACACATGACGTTGATGATGATGATAGTAAAGATGATGATGATGATAGTGAAGATAATGACGATGAATATAATGATGATGATAAAGTTGAGTATGATGATTCCTCTCATTACAAGCCTCATTCATCAGTGTTAATTGACAATTAAGCCATGTTAAGGAGCGCATATAACATGTTAAAATATAACAACAACAATAATTATGATAACAATAGTTTGTATCTTTAATTAGCTTTTAGTGGCTATGTAAAACACTCGCACGCACATACACACGCACGTACATTCATACACACGCACGTACATTCATATACACACACGTACACACACTCACACACATACATACAACTTGTCAATTTTCTATTTTCAATAGACCGACAGTGAACCCATCACTCTTAAATTTCTCAAGGCAGTATGTAAATTAATCAGCGTTAGATCATGCGCACAGCAAGGGAACTGTTCTTCGCAACCGACCACATTTCGCGCTTGTTGCAGCGGCTCCTGCGTGTCTGTGTGTTTGGAGATATCCAGTTGAATGCCATGCCGGCGCGTGCATTCGAGTGACGACAAATCACTTGGTACTTGGTGTTTGAGACTCTTCAGTGTCATTCATCATGTTTTGGTTATCCTACATACTACATTACATTACACACACACACACACACACACACACACACACACACACACACATAAATACAAACAAACAAACCAAACAAGCATACATACATGCATACAAATCAAAGTGTTAATCCATTTGTTACTTGATGTTTGACGGTTCAGTGTCACTCATCATGTTTTGGTTTTAACATACATACATACATACATACATACACACATACATACATACATACATACAAACAAGCATACACACAAACCTTCTTTCATTGATTAGTTGTGCAAACATTAATTTTCAAGTCGTTGTTTAAAAGTTGTTTGAACATTTTATGCTAATTTAGCCTTTGCATTTCGATTTTCTGCCATCATTCATTCATCCGTTTATTCATTCACTCATTCATGCAATCATTTCTTCATTTAATTATTTCGTCAACTCGTACCTTCGTCTATTAACTTATTAAATCACACGTAGATAGATATCTTTCTATCTATCCACACTATCCAAATATCAAGATAGATATCTCTACATCTATCCATTTATTCATATCCCGCCCATCTATCAATATATTTATACCATCCTTTAATTTCAATCTGACTCAATACATTCAATCTTATAGAAAATTCTCAAACTAACTATCTTATTGTATAAACACACACACACACACACACACACACACACACACACACACACACACACACACACACAAATTCACTCACAATTGTTTTCAAAAACACAAAAACCAACACAATTTCAAACCAAAATCAACATTATTGATCATTCGTTTAAAATTTTTTCAACTTAATTATAAAAGTACGGAAGATAAAAATATATGAAAATGTCAAATTCGTAATAATAGTTTGAAAAACTGTTCGTAATAAAAACCGTCGCGATACAAAAATTATTCACTTTTTAAAAACATTTCTGGTAAGATAATTTTAAAATGAAATAATTAAAATCAGACTGTAAGTAAAAAATAAAAAGGCGTATTATAAATATATATATATATGTGTGTGTGTGTGTATGTTCGTTTGTCTGTATGTATTTATATCTGTAAATATTTGAGTAACTATTAGCTGGTGAATGTGTTTGTGTGTGTGTGTAGGTGTTTGTATGTATGTGCTCATATAAAACTATACCATGTTTTATTGAATTTATACATATGTGTATATATCTAAGTGTGTGTGTGCGTGTGTGTGCGCGAACTGTCAAAATAGCCAAAATAAACAGTTCTTGGTATAATCCTTCAATTGAACATGTAAGATACACGTCAAAACAGGCGCGTGTATGTATATAGGTATGTATTTGTGTGCGTGTGTTTGCACGTGTATACATGCGTCTGTGTGATTATTATTATTGTTATTATGTATGACGAATATGTTCGTACTAAAATATAACCTCCTAAGAACGGTTAAAATAGTTTGCTATAAAAGTTTAAAGAAAGTAACATATCAGCTGATTAAAGAAAAATTTATAATAATAATGACAAAATGCCCAAGTAAAAATAATAATAAATAATAGTAATAATAATAATAATTATTATTATTATTTAGCGAATTGACAGAGGCGAATGCTTGTTGAACTTTTTCATGTAGACAGCCACACTGTATTGGTGAGGAAAAAGTTAGTTATGAAATGGAATGAATATTCATAATTTGCATCATATTTATAAATATATCAATCAATCAGCCATCCAATCAATCAATTAGCCATTCAATCAATCAATTAGCCAATCAATGAACTAACATAGCAGCTCCGATGAAAAAAGATAGCGAATGAGTGACTAAAAAGTATGGAAAGTTGTCCATGACATTTGAAATATTCTTCATCAGTTTAGTGTTTCGAATGCTCAGGCGAGATTTCTGGCCAGTAGGATGCTTGAATGTGGTCGGGAGTGTTCTGATTGGTCGGTTGAAATGAAAGAATGAATACTATTGGTCAGAAAAATAGACAAGATAATTATTATTGGTCTGATAGTTTAATTAAAAATATTTACATTTACACTACCATCACTATTTTCACTAGTTTGATGAGAAACTTTACTATAATCGTTACCATCATCAATAGCATCATTACTATCTTCCCTTATCATAATCATCATCACCATCATCATCAGCAGCAGCTAGATCATTATCATCATCGTCGCTCACCCTAGTGGCTGGGATTCTGGGCGACTCGACCAATCCCATACCCACTCCAAGTTTGGCTGTTCCAAGTTTTCCTTCAATAATAATAATAAAAATAATAATACTGAAAATAAAACATGAATAAATATGTAAACAATAGCCATGCCATTAACAAGTGTACATCCAACTGCAACATTTTGTCGCAAAAAATTTCAAAGATTATTACATTTAAATATATCAGGTAAAAAATTATAATATATATATATAAATTATGAAAAATATATATAATTTAAGTTATAAAAAATATATATAAGTAAATTATAGTAAAATAACAAAGCTGATGTGAAAAATTATTTCTACTGCATACTGGCTGTGTGACACCATTGGAAAATGCAGGACTAGCAGTGCCTGTCTCCAATTTGGGACTGGAAATATTTAAAAAAAAATTAATGAAAATGGATATAAATAAACATGAAAAATCAATCAATCAATTAGTTAGTCAATTAATTAGTCAATCAATCAGTCATTTATTCATATAACCACGAAAAATGGTCTACCTAATCTGCCAGTCCATTAATCAATTGATTATTCCATCATTCAATTACTTTTTCATTCCCTCATTTATCCATTAAATAACAAACATCACAACCTGCCAATTTATTATATTAATCAGTCAACCAACCAGCTAACCAGCCAAATTAGTCAGCCCAATCACGTCTACCAACCTGTCAGTAAACCAATCAAATCAATCAACCAACCAACTAACCAGCCAGCCAACCAATCAAACCAACCAACAACCTATTAAAATTGGATGTGGCTCTGGAAGACATATTTGATTCCCTCTGAGCATCTAGAAGTAATTTTTCTATGACACTATTTGTCACCGATGATGATTTTATTGGGGCTGAACCTTTTATGAATGTATAATGTAAATATATATATTTATATATATATATATATATATATGTTCGTATATATGTAATATAAAATATGCTGATTTTTTAATAATAATTTGAAAACAATAATCTTAAAAAATGAAAACAGAGACATTTTTATATAATTAATATTTCCAATTAAACCACAATATATATATATATATATATATACTTGAATATAACAGAAATAACCAAACACGCACACACATACACACACACACACACAAAATTAAAAAAGTACTAAGATAGTGCATATGTTCACTTATGCTTTCACTACAGTCTGTCTGCCTAATTAAATCCCAAATGCAATGACGTTGTCGCGGTTAGATCCAATTCCAAATAATTAAAAAAAACAATAAAATATACGAATAATAATTAACTGAATAATAATAATAAAAATATAAAATTAGGTGAAGTAAACAAAAACAAAATCGAAACCTTCCAAACGATCGTAACAGCTTTCGTTGGCGGGGTTAGACATTTTATTTCGATTTTAAATAAAAATACTATTATTATTTCTTTAAAGAATAATAAATTTAATATTTATTCAGTGAAATATTTAAAAAAAGTGACTTGTTAACTTTCTCAGCTGACTTTGTTTACCGAATTTTTACTATTTCTTGTTAGCTGTGACGTAGCCAACCTAACAACATGTGATCGCCAGACCCGGATTTCAGTAAGTAAGACGAGTATCATCTGGTTTGTGCTATTAATATAAATATATATCTTACTATTCTTTAAAAAATCAGAATCTGACAAACGAAGGAACTGTTACAACATGCAAACACACAAAATATAACACACTCAATGGTCATTAGTAATGTTAATATATTTGTGATACTATCAAGATATACATGTAACAATGTTAGTAAAACACACAAATACGACACACACACACATACACACACATACGAACACTCACACACACATATATATATATATATAAGGAAACATCATACAAGAAAAAAATTTTGACACATTTGATGTTGCGTTAAACAAATATTCTAATAAAAACAGTTAATTACATACACAGATATATATAAATATATAATATATATATATACGCATACAGATACATCGCTGTCAGTTTAATAATATGGATTTAATTAATTTCTACATTTACAAAATTTTAATAATATTTGTCACGGATGGACATTCAGAACACCCACTACAATTATTTTATCTTCAATTTTTCATATTTTAACCAAGAACAAATGTTAAGAATTGGATGAAATTAAATAAGATAGGCGTGTCCGTGCGTTGGCTTCTTCCCAGGCCATGACTCCTTGACATATTTTTTCTTCTTTGGCTCGTTGCTTGCGTCATCAGCAGGCGCGTGATGTTTGTTGACGTTTGACGTGATTGGTTGATTGCTTGGCTCAGATAAGTCGGGGGCCGAGTTAGGAGCTCGCAGGCCAAATTTTTCTGCAATAGATACTAAGCTGTTCGTAGATGTTACCTCATCTGCTTGTGTGGGAGATTTATTTGCGTGTGTGGGAGAGTCAATCAATAATTAACCAGCCAATCAATCAATTAAACAATCAACCAGCCAATCAATCAATTAAACAATCAACCAGCCAATCAATCAATTAAACAACCAACCAGCCAATCAATCAATCCACCAACCAATCAATCCACCAGGCAATCAATCAACCAACCAATCAGACACAAAACTAACTATGATCGTAGTGAGCACTCCCTCCCCCAGACAGTCTTCTGCTGTTGGAAGATGTCGTCTGATTAGGTTTAGCTATACTGCTCAGGCCCGACAAATCAATCTTGGCCTGAAAGGGTTTTAGAAAGTAGAAAAATACCAAAAATTTATTATTTAATATTTTATGATAAATAATAGCATCGTTATTACTAGGGATGCACCGGATTCAGGTTTTTCAAATCCGGCCGGGGCCGGACTTGGCCGGATTTGAAATTCAAAAACCGGCCAGGGCCGGAGCCGGGGCCGGATTTTCGTTACCATTTTACATACGTTAGTAAAAATACTCACATTTACGGTTATCTACATGTTGAACATCAAAAAATAACACCAAGCAAATTGTTATTTAATTCAAATATATGAATTAGTTGTGTGATACACCAAATTCTGTACACAAAGATCAGCTTATAATTTATGCATATTTGCATAACCCAAGTTAAAGCACAAAGAAAATTGTCCAGCTCACTGCACAATTAGCGATGTTGTAATTATGTGTCATGTATACCTAGCCTAACCTTTAACATACCATGTTCTTAAATTATGTGCTTATGTATCTCTCTCTCTCTCTCTCTCTCTCTCTCTCTCTAAATATATATATATAGATATATATCTTTATTTATATATATATATATATATATATATATTATGTAGCTATATGATCCGTCATGTGCATCCATCAATATATAGTATATACACGTGCACGAGTTCTTTTACACAAAGATCAGCTTATAATTTATGCATAACCCATGTTATAGCATAAAGAAAATTGTCCAGATCACCTCACAATTAGTGATGTTGTTATTATGTGTCATGTATGCCTTTAGCTTAGCTTTAGCCATTAACTTATTGACATAAAATTAATTGAATTCAATAAAAATTTTTTTTCTATTTCTAACATTTTTAAAAGTTGATAGACGCTTAAATCCGGCCCTAAATCCGGCCACCAAATCCGGCCGGGGCCGGATTCGACCGGATTTGAAAAAAAAGCCGGATTTTGGCCGGGGCCGAACTTCGGTGCATCCCTAGTTATTACATCATTATAGATATATAATGAAGCGTACAAATATATATATATTTTTTAATATTTTAACATAACACTGAAACCGTTAAGTATTTCCTTGGGTGAATCAGAGAAAAAGCATCTATTTAGACAGACACAACGTAAGAAAACATGAAGAGATAGAGATAAAAAGATAGGTAGGTAGATAGATAGATAGATAAACGGATGGATAGATGAATAGATGGATGGATAGATAGATAGATAAATAGATAGATAGAGAAGATAGAGAGAGAGAAATAAAGATAAAAAAAGGGAGAAGGTACAAGAGACAAAATTAGAAACAAATTCTTTCAAAATACAAAAAAAAAACAAAAGCACAGCACAGCATGGATAATGAAGGATACCAACTCTCTTTGGGATGACTGTTGTCTGAATGAGATTCCTGAATCTGCCGACTGATGGATCTATGTCCTCTAAATGGATTGTAAGCAATCACATTTTGTAATTAACATTTTAACAATTTCTAATCATATTCTACTAATTAGTAAATCACTCAACTGACCAATCAACCATTCAATTAATTTAAAAAAAGCCACCCAATTTTTAAAAATCACACAACAAACAAACCAACCAGCCAATCAGAAAAGCACACCAGCCAATCAACCAGCCAATCAGATAACAAACAAACAAACAAACCAACCATCCAGTCAACTAGCCAGCCAATCAACTGAACAGCCAAATAAAACCAAACCTACCAGGATTAATAATTACTTCTTCCTCATTAAAATGAACGACGTGAGTCCCCGTCGACGAGGCTCTCTTTCTTCTTCTGGAATTCGACGCGTCAGGTAAGTCGGCCACTGTTGCTATTCGACGGTTATGGGCGGTATTAAACTCTGTGAGGTTCTGCGATTGGTTAGAAGATTGATTGATTGATTAGTTGTATGGCATTGTGTTTGGGTGAGTGATCAGTCAGTTGTGCGATTGGTCACTAAAAAAATTAGATAATTGGATAATGGAATTTTAAATTATAGTCTAACCAATAAATTAATCAATTAATAATTAAATTAATTAATTAATTGGAAAAAACAAACATCTAATTCGAGTTCAGTTTCGGGTAAAGCATTAATTTCTCCATCCTCAGCATAATCATTCATAGAATTAATTTTGCTATGAGGTCTTTCCCTAATTATGTACGTTCGTGTCGAGGCTCCAAAATGCATTAAACTGTCTATGGGGACTTGCTGTGGTTTCTTTGGTTCTAATCTCAGCTGCCCAATAAATGTACCATGAGCTGAGTGATAAATAGTTGGGCCATTATAGTTCAGTTATTAACTGGTAATGAGGGAATTAAATTTACAACGATCTATCTTTATAATTAGTTATGTTTGTTGTTTTAATTTTGCGTCTAATAAATAATAAAAATCATGTTTAATCTTTGAAATATCTAAGAAATCCTTCTCAAATTATTATTAAACATTCAGAATTACACAAATAATTACAATTACACAACAAAAAACCCAAAAATTATAAAAATGGATGACAACTAAAATCCCCAAAAATTTCAGTTGTCAACTTACTACTGCCAAGGTCAACGATGAATGGTCGTTCAAGAAATTTATGCCAAACCAAGGCTGCATGCACCCTAGAACTTGAAGCATGATCGATGCAGAAGTCGCAGAGTTGTTTATTTCGACCAAAGAAATAACATTTCTTCTCATCTATCATGAGTTTCTAAATAAAAAATATCATATTATGTTATGCTATAGAATCTATACTATAGATTCTATAGCAAACTTTCTATACTATAGTATAGTATAGAACTATACTATAGACTATAGAGATAGTTACTATAAAATAAAATAAACTATATAATTTTTTATAACACTATCTATCTGTAATTGTAATGCAATGTTATGTTATAGTTATAATAACAGTTATATAATATACTCAATTTATCCTAAAATGGCTAGAAATTATATTACACTTAATAACTAATTTACGTTAGTAATTTAGTTTTTAAATTTTCACATCTACATAATATAATGTCATAAATAATGTTTGTTTTTAAGTTTTAATTATTAATATAATTCAATTTAATTAATTTAATTACTAATAAATTACTTGAATCATTTTCCCATCTTTCAAGACATCAAGATGAAGACCTGGCGGAGGTTTGCCCGCCCTAGTAAAATTTAATTTAATAATTTTAATTTAATAAACGATTGTCAAAAAAAAGGAAAAAAACTAAAAAACTTTAATTGCCTAATTTTATAAGATTATAATAGCTGAAAAAAATTTAGAAAAACAGAAAATAAAGTTTAAAAATTCCATAAACTAAAAAGTGATTGCAATTAAATTAAAACGCAATAAATCACGCAACAAATTACCACGAAGGAATTTCAAAATTATTGACGATGGTCGTAGCCATTTTGTTGATCTAGAAAAGTCGGTTCACTTTTCACCATAGTAAATAAATGGCAACTGTGATTTTATTGCCTGGCTGAATTGCTTAATTTTTCTAACAAAATTTACTGTGTTATGAAACAAAACTTAAGGTTATTTTATATTTATTTAAAATATTTGTTAACTAAACTGTGTAAAATTCATTTGTAGTGTCTATTTAAGACCATTTTCAATCATTTTTCAATAAAAATCAGCCAAACGGTTCTCTATCAAAAGCGTATTAGTTTGTTTCTTAAAATAGCCTTGCCTGGTTTATAAGTTTTAATCGCTGGCGTTTTTGTTGATTGCGCTCTTTTAATTAAACTAACTTAGTTTTAATTACAGATCAATTGTTTAATTACGCAAATTAATTACTAATTTGGTACATACGTTTTCGTTTTAGGAACGTTACAATTGGGTTTCTTCAGTTTTTTAGTTGAGAGTTTGTGCATGGTTTTGTTTGGTTCTTGTTCTTAGGATTTTCAATTAGTTTTTTAAACTTTTAACGAAATTTCATTTCCAAATTTTCAATGGCTGATCCGGTGGCAATTAGAGAAAGAAGAATGCAGAAGATTCTTAAAAATTCTGAAGAGAGGTTGAAAAAGTTAACAAACACTAACAAAAATATATCTGAGAATTTTCTAGAAAATGGTTCATAGCTACATTTTCTATATTTTTTTATTTTATTAAAATTAAACATTTTTATTAATTAAATAAATTTTTAAAATAAAGCTAAAGATTTTGTTTTATCTTATTTCAATCTTATTTGTTTGTGCATGCAAGAGGCTTTGTTAATTAAATAATTATTTTTGTTTCTATTTCTACTCACACTTACACACACAGGCATGGTTGCTAATGGAGAGAAAGATAATGGAACTCATGAAACCACCAAGAAACCAACCTGCTGTCTGCCTTCTAGTGATGAAAACATGAACCAAACTGACCGGCTAAGAGGAGGTGATGATGGTGAAAAAGTTAATCCTGATTCAAAATACTCAACAACACAGCAAGCAAATACCATGGAAAACGTGTTCACTAATTCAAAATTATCTAATTGTACTCCAGAAAAAGATATTGATATCAGTGCAGCTAGTACTTCTGCTAAAGAAAGCACCAAAACTGATGATAATAATGTTGATGATGTGGATATGGAGAAGAAATTGAAAGAGTTTCTAGCTTTTCGATGTTTCTTCATAATCATCGTGGCCGTCACCACTAGACTGATTATTAAATCAAGCTTCAAGGAATTCATTGTTGATGAGGTGGGATGGTTAAGATGCCTGTGTGATGAATGTGTATGTATGCGTACATGTATGTGTGAATGAATGTGTATGTATGTATGAATGTATGTGTACATGTATGTGTGAATTCGTTTTTTTATTTTTTAATGTTTGATTTAGTTTGATTTATTTAGTTAAATGTAGCTGTTTAATTAAATTTATTTTTTTTTAAACTTCATTTTTTTATTCCCATCAGAATATCATTTACCATTTTGTCATGCTGGAAGTTATTTTCTTCAGCTACCAAAAATTACAAAAACTAGTTAGTATATTTCTATAAATTGTATGTTTCTTAAATTTAAATTAAATTTTAATTCTAAGAAGTTATATTTAAAGTTAATTGACATTTTTCCGTCAATTAGGATTTTGTTCTTATTAAGCTTTCAAATTCTATAATATATTTTAATTTTTTATATTAAAAAAGATTAAATCACCCCTCTACCCTCTTCCCAAATAGGTCTATCCGAGAAGCACCTCTGCCAAAAATTTGATCCTTAGCAGCATGCTGGCATACGTTGGTCTTGACATTGAATGCTTACACACTTACAATTATATTATGTCCAGTGTTTTGTCTGTATTCAATGATTTTGTGGTTTATCTATTTTCATTTATTACTGTTCATTATTTACTGTCTTAGAATATATGTGTGTGTGTGTGTGTGTGTCTTTGCGTGTGTGTGTGTGTGTATATCTTTGTGTGTGTGTGTGTGTGTTTGTGTGTGTGTGTTTGTGTCTGTGTAACGATTTTTTTGTTTGAATAAATAATTTTTTAGAACTTTTTATTTTCTGTAGTATATCTTTATTGATGGCAGTAGTGGTCCATAGGATTTAAATATAAATAATTTGAAATCATTGATCATTGTTCATTTAATATTTTAATATATAGCCAATTATTAAATATATGATTTACCTGGTTTTGGTTTTTACTTCAAATTTCTATTCACGCGATTTTGAATGAATGAATGGATGAATGAATGAATGGATGAATGGATGAATGAATGAATGAATGAATGAATGAATGAATGGATGGATGGATGAATGGACGTATTGTCTGTTTATAATTTATAAATGATTCTAGATTCTTTCTAAAGTTTCAACCGCTATTCCGTGAGCGGATTTAAGAATTATGAATACCATTCAGAAAGAGACAAAAGAATTCATTTTTACGATTTTATTAGGACGACATCTTCATTTAGTATAGTTGACAGTTTGAAAAATAAATTACAATAACCATACAACATGTACAACAGTAATAAGGATAGCAATAATCATAATATGATATTTATAATGATAATAAACTTTAATGATAAGCCAGCAAGCAGACTGAAAATCTTATATCTAAGTTAACAGAAGACAGGGAAGTATTGGAATAAGCGGGAAGTTATAAAATGATGCCCGTACGCAAACACATGTGCACACGTACACATACAAGCGCTCGTACACATACACGCACACATACACGCATACATACACATACACGCACACATAAAAAAAAGATGTTTAGCAAGTAATGTGGAATTTTTTTATACTCAAGTTGGTAAATTCGATCCGCTGAATAACATCGTATTGAAAAATTTCAATTATGAGAGAGAGAGAGAGAGAATGTGTGAGAAAAATACAGAAAGAAAGAAACGGAAAGACAACTTTGGAGAGATGAGGAGAAAAAAGTAGAACAGAGAGAATTATTTAATTAAAAAACTTTCTCTTCTTCACCCTTTTTTTACTTCTTTCATTTTCTCATTTTTCGTATTTCTTTTTTCTCTTTTTTTTACCTCTTATCACTCTTCATCATCTCTAAATGGAGTTTTAAAATAGAAACAATACAACAAAAATTCTTATCTATGCATGAATGGGTGTACATAAAACACATTAAAAATACACTCACGTACACACATACACACACAAACACATAAACATACATAAATATTTTATTATTTAACTATAATTAAAAGGAATAACTAACAAAATGAAATAGAAAATATAGGAACTACAGGCAAAAAAAAAGGCAGGTTTAGCATATAACTGTGTGTATGTGTGCGTGTGTATGTGTGCGTTTGTATGTGTGCTGGATATGTGTGTGTATGCGTGCGTGTGTGTGGTTTAGTTTACCTGAATTCAAATATCTTACTAACTAGAAAAGGTACGGATCTATTATTTCACAAATCGATTTTTACTCATATCATGTATACATTTGGGTGTTTTCTCTTTTTACTCTATCTTTTTGTCTCTCTCTCTCTTTCTCTGTCTCTCTCTGTCATTCTTTCTTTCTCTCTCTCTGTCTCTCTCTTTCAGATATCTCTTTATTGAAAAAGAACTCCTAAATGTATTTTTTAATTTTTCTTATTTCTCATGTCACTTTTTCTGTTTTTATCTTTTTATTCCCTCTTTCTCTCTCTCTCTCTCTCTCTTTCTCTCTCTTTTTTTGTGTTTGTGTGTGTGCGTATGCGCGTGCGTGCGTGTGTGTGCAAACGCGAACACATTCGTTTAATTATTTTCCTTGCGATATACAGTTCAATTTCTAGTATTAAGTTTCACAAAAATAGATCAAATGAAAATTGGCGTCATTGATAAATACTTATAGATGGGCAAGCAAGTTTCTAACTTAGAATGACGACGACAGTGTCCGAATGTCGCATCGTATCGAATTGTATCGTATCGCATGAAATCGTATCGCATAGAATCGTATCGTATGGAATCGTATCGTATCGCACCGCATGAAATCGTATTTCGTATCTTATATTAATGATCTAAAAAAGCGACGATGGTGTAATGGTTGAGGTGCCAGGTTTCGACTTACACATAAATCACGGGATTCAAATGCAAAAAGAATCCCTTCGTATCACAAGCGAATTCACATGCAATCTGTGTGTGTGCGTGTGTGTGTGTGTGTGGATTTTGTTTGTTAAGAAGACAACTTATAAAAATAAAATTAGTGATAATAATAATATTTAATATTAAGGTAATTACATGAATATGCGTGTTTAACAATAAATATAGAACTCCTATCTGATGTAATTAAACATAATTCAAAAATAGTATAAACACATGAAGATGAATGAATGAATTAACTTATGAATGAATGAATGAATAAACGAATGAATAAATGAATGAATGAATTAACGAATGATTGGATTAATGAATGAACGGATGAAATAACGAATAAATGATGGATGGATGAAATAGTTTGCAAGCGAATGAATGTGAAGATGGGTGGATGAATGAAGGAATGTATGAATGAATGAACTAACGAAAATTCAATCAATCATTCAATCAATAAATCCATCAATCAATATATCATTTTTCAAAATGCAGTAACATTAGTAGCGAATCAAATCAATCGTATAGACTTTTTATCATCAGATGGCATACACTCCACCAAAAAAACCACACCCAAGTTAGCTAACATAAACAGCATTAAGTAAAAACAATAAATAATAATAACTATAATAATAATAATATTAATAATAATAAAATTCGAATAAAATAAAAATAAAAATCGTAAAAAAAATTTTGTACAATCGGTAAAACAGAATACACAATGAATACGTGAATGTTTAAAATATCGAGTTACCGGTTTTTTGAAAAAAAAAGAGAAAACCATAAGACGAAAAAGAAAAATGTTGTGTGTGTGTGACAATGTGTGTGTGTGTGTGTGTGTGACAATGTGTGTGTGGCCGTGTGTGCATTAATAGACAGATAAGCGTGTTACTTTCGTAAACATAAATTCTATTTCATTTGCAACGTTGAAACGAAATTGTATTATTATTATTTATTTATTATTATTATTGTTGTTTATTATTATTATTAATATTATTGTTGTTGTTGTTATTCAAATTATTTAACAATTAGGATTTGCAATCTTATTCCACGATGGTTTAAAGACTCACGTTTCAAAAATATAAATGAAATGTCATGCGGTTGAAAAATATTATTGATGAGAATAACTTGAAAAAAAAAACCTCATCCTGTAGCATCAACGACAAACAAAAACAGAAAAATCTTCAACAATTATGACGTCATGCTTAGCAACAAACAATAAACACAACAACTACGTTCGTTTGAAGCAACAACAACAACTGCAAAAACACAACAATTTAAATCAACCTACCTACATGAAACAACTTTCAGCATCAGGCGCTAAAAAAATTCTCACCACCAACACTACTTCTACTACATTACTACTACTGCTACTACCACTACTACTACTACTTTTACTACTACTACCACTACTACTACTACTACTACTACTACTACTACTACTACTACTACTACTACTGCTACTACTACTACTACTACTACTACTACTACTAATACTACTGAATCGCGCAACATTTTTTGCAACAAGGGCAGCAACATTTAGCGCAACAGCCACAACATTTTTTCTTCGTTACCAACTTAACTTGCTCGGCTGTACCCTTTTCCGGTTCGTCTAACATGGTCTGGGAGACCTCCACCTGAACCGGACTGGATGCATAACCGTTTACGACGCCACTTTCGATAAGTTTCGATTTTTCCGCCTCTATAACCGTTTCTCTGATAGATGGCAGTTCAATTTCCGGCTGGGGATGTTCTTCAGATGTCGGTTTTTTCGGTATATCCGGATCGGATATTCTTAACTCGGTTCTCGTGATGGTTGAATGGCTGATTATGTAGTCGGCTTTCCGGCTGAGTTTGCCGCTTGCTGTAAATGGGTTTTTCAAAGGATCGACCGAATCCGTGTGGTTGAATGATGACGATGATTCGAAGACGTTGTCGAGGTTGTTGTTGTTGTTGTTTGCGTTCATGGCTGCTGTTGTTGAAGTGCTGTTATTTGTTGTTGGTGGCTTTTCGGGATCGTTAACTTGCTCCCGATTCCGAGTATCCGGCTGCTGCACCGCCACGTTTCCGTCGAGACTGTTAGGATTGTGGTTGTAAAACGGTGTTTAAAACAATAATGATGACGACGGTTGGAAATAATGACGATGATAGTGGGTGATAATAGGCTTGAAAAGTATTGAAATAATTTGAAAAATAAAACATAAAGCGCACCATAATTGGCCAGAAATGACGTCAGTGGCGCTCGTGATGACGTCACCGCTGCTGATGTGGTTTGTTGTTGTTGTTATGGAAGCTAATAAAACTTTTTTGCTGTCGGAATAGTCGGCGTCAGACATGGCGGAATGTTCTCGTCAAACTGTCTTGTTGTTGTTTTTCTGAATTGAAAGAGGCAGCGAACAAATGAATGAACAAATAAATGAATAAAACATTTTTCAAAAATCTAATATTAATAGAATTTAGTTAACTTAATGGCTCGAAAAGTAGGAAAGTTCTAGGTCTGTCTGGTGCGTCTGTAGCAACAAACTGTTTCGACATTACCGTGTTCAAATGCAAAGAAATCCCAAGCAACATTGTTATACTCTTATATATTATGAAAAACATTTTTACAGTAGTAGCAGTAGTAGCGGTAGTAGTAATAGTAGTAGCGGAAATAGTAGTAATTAGATTAACACTAACAATACATATTACTACAAAAATATTCAAAAATAAGAAAAAGTTACCCAGACAGAATGGTTTTTGGCTTTTTTTCTTGGTAAAACTTATTTTAAGAATGACCAACAATTACGTCAAGCATTTAATTTACTCTAATTTGATTGATAAATATTCAATGAAATATTTTATCAAAATAATTAATTTTTAATTAATAATAATTTTTTTACGATTAAACAGCAAATAACTTCCATCCATTAACCTGCAAAAAGTTTATTCATATGCTCTCCGTAATATAATCACTTTTTTTAAAAAGACAGAGAGAGAGAGAGAGAGAGAGAGAGAGAGAAAGAGAGGAGAGAGAGAGGAGAGAGAGAAAGAGAACGAGAAAAATAATAACAAATAGAGGGAAAGATGGAACAAAAGAAAGTAACGTCCTTTTCATTCTTTTATAACCGAGCGAATGAATGAAATAAACGCTAAATTATTTTATTTTCATGTTATATAAGATATATTGTCGTCTGGAATCTGGAAACTATACACACTCTCTCTCTCTCTCTCTCTCTGTTTCTCTCTCTCTAGTTCTCTCTTTTTTTCTCTCCCTATATCTATATATATTCCGATACGTGCGCGCACACCTTTTAGCAATGATGCTGCCGTGATGAGTATACAAATGGCTGCGTGTACGTTCGAGTATGTACGCTTAGAGAGAGAAAGAGAAAGAGAGAGAGAGAGAGAGAGAAAGAGAGAATAAGAGTGAGAGAGAGAGAGAAATACTTAATTTTATGCATATATGTATATTTTGTGTATGCAAATCACCATCAACAATGACAACCACGGACTTACACTACACATGCATGCTGATACGCTGCATATCGGTGTCTGCTTGCATTCGAATCCCGTGACTGTGACTCGGAAGTATAAAAAGGTGTGTTTTTAACCATTGCGTCATTTTGCGGCAGAGTTTAACTTACATGATGAAATAGAATGTTCTAGAATTTGGTAGGGTTTTTTTTTTATTAGGTTAAACATTTTAAGTAGTATATTAATTGATTTTGTTGTATTATTATTGTTTTCATAAATGTTATTATTATTGTTAATAATATTATTATTATTATTATTATTATAATTATTCATAATTGCAAATTATAATTAAGTTTGAAAATATGTTTCGTTGCGATTAAATCATCTGCAAATTTATAGTGCTCTTAAATTGTTGAAAAAAACTTTTGAAAAAATTTAAGTACGCAAATATGGGTAAATGAATGAAGGAACGAACGAACGAACGAATGAATGAATGGATGAATGAATGAATAAATGAATGAATGTATGATCAAATGAACGAACGAATGAATGAATTAATGTATGGTCAAATGAATTAATGAATGAGAAAACGACAGAATGAAATAAGAAAGGATTCATGAATGAACAAATGAGCGAACGAGCCAGAGATCGAACAAATGTATGAACAAACAAACCATCAAACTTAAGAACGCTGGAATGAAGAAACAAAAAAGCGAATGAAGGAACAGAAGAATGAGTGAATGAATGAACGAACGAACGAACGTACGAACGAACGAGCGAACGAATGAATAAAAACCATTACTGCCTTTCAGCTAAATATAAAATTGTGGTTATTTTTTGCAGAAAATTTTTGGCCTATTTATAAAGACTCCCAGTAATTTTTCTTACTCTTCATCTATAAAAAAAAACTTTTGAAAAAAAATTAGAAATAATAATAACAATCATCGTCGTCATCTTCATCATCATTAGGATGTCCGCATGTTGCCAAATTCATTACTTAATTGACGTATTAAATAAATTGAAAAACATCTTTTGAATTGCTGTTAAATTTATTATCATCTTATATATATATATAATATATATATATATATGTATATATATATATATATATATATATGTTTGTATGTATCATCTTCAAAATATATATATGTTTATATGTATCATCTTCTATATATATATATATATATATATATATATATATATATATATATATATATATATATATATATATATATATATATATATGTTTATATGTATCATCTTCAATCATTACTGGAGCTATCATCATCATCGTCATTACATCCAACAATATCATTTTAATAAATTCTACTGATATCATCATCACCACCACCATCATCGGCGTTATTTTTTATGACGTCATCATCATCCTTATTATTATTATTGTTGTTAATTATAATATTGTTATTATCACCACCACCGTCATCATCATCAACGCCATCATCATCATCAACGCCATCATCATCATCATCATCATCATCATCATCGTCATCATCATCATCATCGTGAAATTCTACACGATTGTCATCACTATCGTTACCGTAAGAATAGTAAGCATGGAAAGACCGCTGATAAATACTGCCATCATCATCATCGTCATCACCCCCATCATCATCATCATCATCACTATAATGATGATTGTGGTTATTGTTATTGTGGTTGTTAGTGTTATGATCCACATCATCATCATCATCATCGTCGTCATCATCCCCATCATCATCATCACTATAATGATGATTGTGGTTATTGTTATTGTGGTTGTTAGTGTTATGATCCACATCATCATCATCATCGTCGTCGTCGTCGTCATCATCGTGATGATGACCTCTTATCACTGTTGCCCCATCTACCATTGGTTCTATGTGACCGTGCATATAACTTCCTGCTTATTATTATTATTATTGTTATTATTGTTATTATTATTATTATTATTATTATTGTTGTTGTTGTTGTTGTTGTTGTTGTTGTCATAGTTGTTATTATTGTTATTATTATTGCTGCTACTTCTACCTCTACTTTTATTACTGTTATGACTACAGCTGATAATAATAGTATAATGTTAATAATAAAAATGAATACCAAAAATAATAATAAACTGCTACCATATTTAGTTGATGATCCGACAGACGAAATCTTCTTATGAATCTTTGTTGATGTCTCGTGCTTCCGAAAATTATTATTTACATAATTATTTTTATTATTATTATTTTTATTATAATTATTATTATTGATGTTGTTGTTGATGTTGTTGATTTTGTTGTTGTATTCTGTGACTTTGTTGATAAGGTGGTCATTTTTGTTGATGACGTTTTTGTTGCTCACGTCACGAATGCTGTAGTTGTTGTAGGCAAGAGTTTTGTTGATGACGTCATTTTCGTTGATGATGTCATTTTTGTTGGTGTTGTTGTTGTTACTGTTGCTGTTAATAATTCCACTTTTGTCAATAACTTCTGAATTCAGAAATGACGCCAGCCTATCATGTTGAGATTTTATTGGATTGTACAACAAGGGTTATGTATTGTATTGTAATGTATTGTATTGTGTTTGTGTTGTATTGTATGTATTGTATTGGTATTGTATTGTAATTCCCTTGTATTGTATTTGTATTGTATTTTATGTATTGCATTGTATTAGAGGTAATGTATTGTATTTGTATTGTATTTGTATTGTATTTGTAGTGTATTGTATTTGTAGTGTATTGTATTTGTAGTGTATTGAATTGAGTGGCGTTATATTGTATGTATTGTATTGCATTGTTTTTTTTGTGGTTTTTTGTATCAAATGATATACAAACATTTTCAAATCTTTTTTGGAAAAACTCGCTTCCTCCAGAAGACAAGTCGGCAGAAATAAATACAATGGCTTTTTCAATGTTTCTTCGGCTTCTTTCTGGAACTCTATTTTCATTTTCTCAAAAAGTAAAAACACTTTTCCATGATAAATGTAATAATAATAATATCAATTGATTAGTGAATGTTTTAATGCATTTTTTTGTAGTAATTAACTTTTTAATGAAAAATTGTCAAAAAATATTTTTTTAAAGAAATTTGATAACTTATATATAACAGCCAACATTTTGACCAAAATGCATCGCCAAAAATTAGTTTTTTAATTTTAATCATTTAAAATCAATAAAAAACTTAAAAAAACCATTAAAGATGAATAGAATTCCTAAACTAAAATGTTAAAAAATGGACTCTAACAATTCATATTTACCTTTACAAATGCAATAAGAGGTCTAACAAGAACACTACGCTTGATAATTTGTAATTCCACGCCATCAAATCCCCAAAATCTTAAAAGTTTAGTAACATTGCTAGCAAACGCGCGCATGGCTTCAGAACTGTTTGGCAAAATTAACTTTTGGGAAGTTTTTTCCAGAATTCCTCTGACGCTTAGGACTGTTATCAAGTCCTGGTTCTGCTCTTTCAGTTTCATAAGTACAGATTTTCTGGTTTGAATTGTAGCAAAGATGGTAATGGTGAGATATATATTAATGAGAGAACCTACAATTTTACTGCTGCTACTACTATTACAACTAACACTATTACTACCACTTTACTTTTACTTTTAATGTTACTGCTACTACTGCTACTACTACTGCTGCTACAGAAAGTATTTTCACTACCACAACTACTTATTTAACTCTAGCAACAACAAATCAAAATCATCAAGTGCAACTAAACAAAAGGAATAATAATAATAATTTGCAAGCAAATGAATGTGAAGATGGGTGGATGATTGAAGGATTGTACAGCTACTAAACAATAGGAATAATAATAAAGTTATAATAAAAAAGTTAAAAGTAATAATAAAATTACAAATTTTTTCGAGGCATGCATCAGCACTAACACATGCAGGTGATTGCCACTGTTTAACCAGTCCACTAATTTCACGCCGGTTCTACGTAGGTAACTCCCGAAGCCTAGAACCACAAAACCGCACTGTCTGGAATCGAACTCGGAGAGCACGTCTGATGTACTACTGTCAAAAATATTCCCAGCCAAATAACAAACCGCATTTGAACCTTCGGAGAATTCATTTGAAAAAAAATTTCGTAGTTTAGTTTCTAAGTTTTTAATTCTTAAATTGTTTTAAAATGATAGCAAAATGAAGAGAATGGTGATACGTGATGATGATAATGTACGGTGACGACATGGCGAAAGATAATACAGATCTGGTGACGATGATAAGAGTATGATGTTATCACTGGGAATATCACGAACGAGAAGCGTTGTTAACGTTTGAAAAATTTTTGAAATTGAAAAAAATTTGGGAGCTATAACAATAGATAAATGACGATGATGCCGTGATAATAATGTGATGTGATGACAACACGATGGTAAAAATATTATTATCAAATTAATTGAAAAATGCATTTATTAAATCAAATATGGAAATATCAATCAATCCCACTGTTATTAATTTTTAATTAATTAATTTAATTAATTTTTTTAATTGCATAAAAATTCTAACATTTTGATGAAAAAGAGCAAATGTTTCCAATGTTTTTCTTTTTATTTTCACCAATTTTTGTAGAATTACCTGGCACGAAGTCTGCGAAGTTTGTCGAGTTCGAGGTGAGAACGTCAACTTTGAAATTTTCACGCTCGTTAGCTTTCGCTGGTTTAGATAGTTTTTGTATTTTACTTTTATAAAATATTAAATGTGCAGCTTTAGTAGCGAGTAATGCTGCTGTGGTGGTAGTAGCAGTAGAAGAAGTAGCAGCAGTAGTAGTGGTTATTACTCCATCTGCAGTTGAAGTTTTATGTTTCCAGAAGAAATTTTTTATAATTTTTTCAAAAAAAGTCTTTTTTTTCGTCGTCAAAATAGGATTTGTAGTAATAATACCGCCAGTAATGTAAATAGTAGTGACAGGGGTAGTGGCTGTTGTAGTGGCTGTGGTAGTAGCTGTTGTGACGGAAGTAGTAGTGAAAGTAGTGGTAGCAGTAGTAGGGAAGGTAGTAGTACTAGTGGTAGCGATTAATTTTTCTTTATGAAAGTTCTTAATTTTACTGAGAATCTTTTCAAAAAAATTGGCACTTGATGATTTTGATGTTGTTGTTGTTGTTGCTAGAGTTAAATAAGTAGTTGTGGTAGTGAAAATACTTTCTGTAGCAGCAGTAGTAGTAGCAGTAACATTAAAAGTAAAAGTAAATTTTCTAGCCATTAATTTTTTAATTTTGGTCGTTGGTTTAAATATTTTTGTGGTTGTTGATGGTTTTAAATTAACATCGTAGTCTACCGACCATTTATTTATTTTTCGTGTTGTTGGTCGTTTTGTCTTCGATAATTTTGCAGTAGTAGTTGTTGTAGCAGCAACAGTTGCAACAGTAGCGGTCAAAAATGTTGTAGGGGCGATTGTGTTGATAGTAGTTTTAAAATTATGAACATTTTTTTTGTAAGCTTTTTTAAAATGTTTATCAGTAAAACGAGATGTAGTAGTAGTAGTAGTTGTAGCAGCAGCAGCACTAGTAGTCATTGTAAAAGTAGTAGTAATAGTATCATAGGTTGTTGTTGTTATAATGTAAGGATGAACAAACTTTTCGATTTTAAAAAGTCGGCGTTTTTTACTCGGACGATGTTTTGTGGTTGTTGTGGTTTCAGTTGTCGCTGCTGAGATGAAATCGTTGTCAATTGTTGCTGGTACAAACACTTGTGTAGTTGTGATTAGTTTGGCGGGAAGGAATTTATTTAAAAGGTTGAAAATCATATTTTTCAGTTGAAACCTTTTAGTTGCTGGGTTTGTTGTTGTTGTTGTTGTAGTTTTGAAAAAAAATGGTCTAGTGACTACGTATATCGTCAATGTTGTTGTTGTCGTTGGCTGAAATATTGATAATCTTTCAAATTTTTGAAATGGCTGTTTCAAACTCTTCTTAACGCATGCAACTTTTCGTTTCGTCACGTGTTCCCTGACGTCATAATAAACCATTTCCGAACATTCTCGATTTCCACTGGTGCCTAAATATCTACGAATTGTCGTTGCTCTTGTTGTTTGTCGTAATGGTAAGTCGTAATTTGTATCGTAAGTTCTGTCGTAAAAGTAATTTTTGAAGCTTTGTACTGGTTTAATTTGTCTACTGGATGGGTTAGAGTTTTGAAAATTTTTCAAGATTTTTTTCTTGATAGGAAGATCATTTTTTCTATTTGTAACATATTTCGTTAGTTCGTATTTTTTAGAATTAATGTCAGGAATTACGTTAATGTCGTCATTGTCGTTGTTGTAATCTGTAATGTAGCTAGCGATGTATTTCATTTCGTTAATATTTCTATTCCGAAGCTTTGTTTTGGTTGTTGGGACGGGAAAAATGTTTGGTTTTGTGTATTTTATGATGTAGTCATTATCCAAATTATTGATTTCGTCATTGTAACCATTGTAGTAATCATTACCATTGCCGTAATTTTCATTGTCGTGAGTGGGGTTATCGTCATAACTGTCTTCACGGTCGTAAAAATTATAATCTGTCGAAGTTTTGTATGCATGTTTGTTCATTTTGAGATTGAATGTCGTTGTGTACAATTTTGGTGCGTTTTGAGCTCTGCGAGAACCTCTAATTTGGTTGTAGCTGTAGAAATAGTCATCGGGTGATTTAGTTGTTTGGGTGAGATGGTAGTTGACAATTTTTTCCTCGTTTGGGGTTTTTCTCTCGCTAAAGAAAAATTTTATTTCGGGATTTTTTGGGACAAAGATTTTATTTGGTGTAAAGGAGTTTTTCAAAATGTTTTGGGTTTGGGGTTCCTGATTTTCGAAGTTATCTTCAGTAGTAAATTCATTTTTAAACACGTTTCCAAATTTATTTTCCAGTCTAAAATCATTTTTCTTTCTTCTGCAAATTATTTTTTTGTCAACGTATTTTTCACCGTTCGCGTCTCTCTTCAAGAATAATTCTTCCTTGCAGTTGCCCTTGGCTCCCTCTGTATCTTTTCCATTTCGTAGATCAATTTCATAAAATCTATTTCCGCTATTTCCATCCTCATCATCTTCTTCCTCTTCCTCCTCTTCCTCCTCCTTCTCATCATCTTTTTTTTCTTCGGAGTTATAATCATCATCATCATCGTAATCGAAAGATCCACCATCATCTAAATTTTGATATATATTGTCTTCGCAATCGACTTCCCTGCAAATTTTACTAACGCGTTCTTGCATCAGGCCATGTATGAGCGTTGGTCTGTGTATGTAGAGAATGCAATGCTGACCTGCGTCTGTGTCAGCATCATCTTCAGGCGTTTCATATCTTTCAAATGTCGGTAATGTGATCCAGCCCTTCTTCCAGTCAAAAAACGATTCCATCCCCGTGTGCTTTCTGCCATTCTCTTCCGTGTTGTCCCTACAGGTCAAACTTTGACTTCTTGACCCGGTTGAGATTTTGACGTTTTTCACCAGACATATTTGCCCTTTGCTATTTTTACAGATCTTAATGTTGCTTTTTGCAATTTTTTTATCGGCGTGTTTGGTGTTTAAAGTTGTTCGGAGTAATTTCACTTCGATTTCAGGTTTTTCGTTACCCGTATCATTTGTATCATCTTGGTTTTTTTTGCTAGTACTATTTATATCATCATATTTTTCTTTGTTAGTACCATTGGTATCATGAACATAATTGATATTGCCATAATTTATTTGATAATCGGTTGAGTTGTCATTTTCTTCAGAACTATCGTCACTGATATCTTTCACCTTATAATTTTCACTTTTTTGTAAACCATTCAATATTATTTTTTTACTTTTTTGGAGGTTTTCGTTATAACCTAAATGACTGCCACTAAACTTGCCACCTCTTATAACTTCTCTATAACTTTTTCGTCTACCAGTCAGACCGGTAAAATCGGTAAAATTATCACCAACAGTTACATCGTCATCGTCGTCATCCTTGTTATATGTCTTTTCATCATCATTATCATTATTAAGACCATCATCATCATTATTAAGACTATCATCATCATTATCATTATTAAGACCATCGTTATCATCATCATCACCATTATAATCAACAAATTTGGCGTCGTAATCGTCAACTGTGAAGGTAGTAGCGGGCGCGTTTTTTTCAATTTTTGTAATTCTCCTACTACCGTTACTGCAGATTTCCAGGAGACTTTCAGTTTCGATTCCATCTCGAGAGTTTATCTTTCTCTCTATCTTGCAGCCGTTTTTGAAATCGTCGTCATAACTTTCCTCATCGCCATCGTCATTGCCATTATCATCATCATTATCATCATCATTATCATCATCATCATCATCATCATCATCATCATCATCATCAACATTTTTGTTATTATTTCTCTCACGACCATCATCGTCATCATCTTCGTCGTTACCCTTTTTATCATCATCATCATCATTATCTTCATTTGTAGTATCATTATCATCATCACTACCGCCATCATCGTCGTCGTCATCATTTTCATAGGTGTATCTTTTTCCGGTTCTAATTATACCTCCGGAGGCCAATGACCTTTCGATATCAATGTTTACTTTTGCACTTACAACTTCTTTAATAACGTCGCCAGAATTGCTTGGGCTGCCGATACCGAAATTATTATTATTAATATTATTAATATTATTATTATTATTAGTAGTAATTGTAGTAGTAGTAGTAGTAGTAGTAGTATTGTTGTTGTTGTTGTTGTTATTTCTGTTGTCGTCGTCATCTTCTTCATCACTGTCTGTAGTTTTATTATACGTGTGGTTTCTTGCTTTACCGCCATAATTATCATCGTATTCATCGACATCTTGTTTAAGAGCTGTTGAGTTGAATGGGAGTTTGCACATGAATATTATGATTAAATATAATATGTATATATATCATTATCTCTACCACCATTATCATCATCATCGTCATCATCATCATCGTCATCATCGTCGTCGTCATCATCATCATCGTCATCATCATCATCGTCATCATCGTCGTCGTCATCATCATCATCGTCATCGTCATCAGTGACGTCATCATCATCATCAAAGTCAATATCCTTATCGAAATCATCACGATCGCAATCATCATCGTCGTCATCATCATCATCGTCATCGTCATCATCATCATGGTCATTATCATTGCAAGAGACAGTAATGCACTGAGGAACATATCACCACATGCTATTTGAATGAAAGCAGCTGTCTTTTGAATTGTAATGATTTTAACGACGACGATGATAATGATAGTGATGATGATAATGGTGATGATGATGATAATGATGATGATTGGTTAGGGATGATAATGATAATAAAAAAAATTGTTTCAATTTTAAAAATTTGATCGAAAGATGCGGGATTCTACCATTCTCTCTCTCTCTCTCTCTGCTTCTCTTTTTTTCCTTCTCTCGCTCTCTTCTCTCTTTCTTTTCTTTCCCTCTCTCTTCCTCTTCTTATTTGTTAGCTTTTCATCTCCATACTTACCACATGACTACCTCAAAACATTCTCCATATGGAAACAAAATCCATTTCTGAAATTTAAAAAGAAAGAAATAAAATAAAATAAACAGACTTGTTTGGCCATCGCAATAATAAAAGTACGTCAGTAGCAATAACGCCAACAGAAGCAACAACACTTGAGTTTTCTTGACAACCGCCATGACATCTGTCGACTGGGGACGAAAAAATTATAAATTTTCCTTTTTTTATTATGTTTCTTCTTATTCTTTTAAAATTTTTCTCTATTGATGAATGAATTGATTAGAACAAGCCTTTCTTGGGACTATTTGAGATGGGGTTATATTTGCCTCAACGATAAAATTGATAATGATGACATCATTAATTTTTCAAATAAATAAATAAATTGTTTTATTTATTTAAGAAAAATTATCATCAAAAAATATTGTAGTTTGCCTCTTCTATCACCAATCAAACGTATATTTAACAATTTTATATAAATAATTAAACTATTCTTAAAATAAATTTAGGTTGGTAAGTTTTTATTTTTGCTGGTATGATATAGCGAATACAGGGCGGCGGATTCCGTAGGCTGGATTCAGGAAAATGGATCTGGAGTGCATCCACTCCCACAAGACAATGAATGAAGAAGGTTTTGAAGATCCCGTGTAAAATTCAATAAGGAAATAACGAAAATTAGCAGAGAGGAGGTGATAAATTTAGGATTTTTAAAAATCATTTCCACAACGGAATGGGATCAAACGGGAGTTATCGGAAAAGTACATCAGCCTTAAAATTTTAAGACTGCTCCTTCTACAGCCGCAATGTTCCAAATCCGCCACTGACAAAAATAATTACAATTATTATTACTATTATTACAATTATTGTTAACAAGAACTTTATCAATTCGAGTCAATTAATTTTTTTATAATTGTAAGAGGATAAAATGATCGAAGTCTGTGTTCTTCACACTCAAAATCAAATATTTACGATTAATAAGTGGTCCATTGCTATAAATATCAATAAAACCGACTGCCTTTTAAACCGACTGAACCCATTTTGTAGTGATGTTATGTCGGTATCGATCGAATACTTTTGTTCTGTAATGTCGGATATTAAGCAATCGGTTTTTGTTACATGATTCTACGAAGAAGTAATGGCCGGTATGTTTGTTTGTGGGGTGTTTGTTTGTTTTTGTTGTGTGTGTGTGTGTGTGTGTGTGTGTGTGTGAGTTTGCATATGTTATGTGGGAGTTTGTGTGTGTGTCGGAAGGTATGTATGTGTGTGAATCTATCATTTTGAAATTAAATTACAAATACGTCCATTTATTAGCCAAAAATGCATAAAACAAACAAATAAAATCAGAATACACAAAAATTTATTACAAACACATACATACACAAATATACACAGACGCGTAAAAACATAAAAAAACACATACAAACTTCCAAATACTCGTACAAATATACAAGACATGAAACAAGAAAAAAATATTTTCCTGTCAACAATCATTACATATCCACAGAATTAAAGACGTGAACGAGTGTTGAACGTTGTCATTTAATCAAAGCAAAGAAAGTGAAGAAAAACGGAAAATGAAATTATTTTTGTGACTAAAAACAAGAATAAAAATGAATTTTTTTTAAATCGAAAAACTCCCGCCAAAAAACTCAAAATTAACGACATCCCATTTTTTAAATCCAAAAAAAACATATTTGATACATACGAACATACAAACATACATACATGCATACATGCATGCATGCATTCATGCATGCACGCATGCATGCATAAAGAGAAAAGAAAAACAGTAGTCTTAGAAACATACCAACACAAAAAAATCTTGCAAACCAAGATATGAAAAGAAACAAATAAACAAACATACATACAAACAAACAAACGAACAAGAAAACAAACATACAAACAAAGCACGAACATAGATACAAACAAACACATAAACAAATAAACTGATTTCAAAATTAATCATGCATGCGTGGATGTATTGCTAGTGAAAGGTTATTTTTAGCTGCTAATCGCACACATATTTATTTGACATTGAATTCTTTTACCGTCCATTCATTCGTTCATCCACTCTTCCTTCCTTCCTTCCTTCCTTCCTTCCTTCCTTCCTTCCTTCCTTCCTTCCTTCCTTCCTTCCTTCCTTCCTTCCTTCCTTCCTTCATTCATTCATTTTTTCTTTCATTCATTTTTCATTTTTTCATTCATTAATTCGTCTGTTCGTTCATCAGCTCATCCGTTCATTTATTCAATTTTATTTTTGTCAAAACATTCCAAAATTTTTCCTATCATTCTTAAATAAATAAAAATCAAAGACAATGAGTAACGAAAGATAGCAAAAAGTATAAATAAAAAAGTTACGTATATCAAATTCATTATTTATGCTCCACAATAAATCATACGTCGTTACATTCAATATCGCCAAGTAATCAATCATAGAGCCACACACACGAAAACTCAAACACACACATACACAAAGAGAGAAAGAGAGAGAGAGAGAAAGAAAAATATATGAGAGAGAGATAGAGAGAAATATATAAATATATACATATTGTTGTAACGACCATTGAACTTGTAGGGTACAGTTATTTCTGAATAGACTTACTTCGGATGAACTTTATGAAAAAGAAAACAGTTCTAGCAATTACTTGTGTGCATTGCTGTGATCAATCACTCGTTGATTCAATGGTTAAAATCGTTAGAATACAGCACAAGAACTAATCGACAGGTAAATCACGGAATACAACCAATCGTCAATGATTAAGCTCCTCTCGACAGACTATTTATTTTGAGTTCTTTTAGCTCTGGCGTTCTTCACTGCAGTGAGTTCACTTCTGACACCAGTGTTGTAACCTCCTGAAGATCCCACTTCTGACACCAGATGTTATCTTTAACGCCGAACATGCTGTGATTTTCATCAATATATATATATATATATATATATATATATATATATATATATATATAAAGAGCAAAGCTAGCTAAACAATAAGTAAAAGTACATTGTCATTATCATTGCCATCCTCATCAGCACTATTAGTAATAACAATAATAATTATAATTATATTATTATTTTTTATTTTATTTTTATGATTTATTATTAATTTATTGTCATTTTGAAAAGTTACATACATAACAATGATTGACATTTGGTTGCTTATATGGCACCAATATATGTATTTATGTATGTATGTAAGTATGGATGTATGTATGTAGGAATGTATGTATGTTTGTATGTAAGTATGAATGTAAAGGTATGTATTTATCTATATATCTATGTATGTATTTATGTATATATGTATATATGTATCTATGTATGTATATATGTAAAGGTATGTATTTATCTATATATCTATGTATGTATTTATGCATGTATGTATTTATGTATGTGTTTGTGTACGTATTTGTGTGTGTATGTATGTATGTATGTGTTTAATATGTGTGTGTTTTGGGTTTAAAACGTAGGCTGTTTTTTTATTTCTCTCAGTTCTATATTATCATCACAAATGTTTGAATGTCAATGATAGTAATAATAATAATAATATCAATAATTGTAACAACAACAACAGCAATAATAATAATAATAATAATAACAATGAAAAAATAATTATTATAATTTTTGCTATTTATAAATTTCTGTATTGATGAAATTATAACTGATATACACTGCTATTATAAATAAAAAAAACAACAACAACGTAATAATAATAATAATAATAATAATAATGATGATAAAATCATTATTATTATTCTTAATTTTATTATCTAGTTATGACGCCACTATTATTATTATTATTATTATTTCATTATGACGTCATGATTGATGATATATATACATTTATTAACATTTTTAATTTAGATTATCGAATCGTGGATTATGATAATAATAAATAAAAGATTAAACATCTGCTCTAGTTTTGCAGCCCTGGTCTGTTTTTAAAGTAAGTCGTGATGATGATGGTGATGATGGTGGTGGTTATGATGGTGATGATGATGGTGGTTATGACGGTGAATTTTATTGCTACGATGACGATGATGACGACGACGATGCTGGTGATGGTGTATTGTATTGTTGAGTTTTTGTGTTGTATTGTATTGTAATATATTGTTTTGTTTTGTTTTCTATTTTATTTTATTTGTTGTGTTGTATTGTATTGTATTATATTGTATTGTATTATATTGTATTGTATTGTATTGTATTATATTGTATGTTATTATATGGTATTGTATTGCTTTTGCTCTGATCTATTTTTATAGTAAATAAAGATGAT